AATGGAGCACAATGAACCAATGGAGTATCAGCACCAAAGTTACTACGTCAAGCTTTATGCGCAAACTGTAAAGGCAAGTGAGGCGTGGGAAGTAGTCGAATGTCGTAGTTGATTCCGCTTCAACTTGGCGTTGAAGCTAAGAATGCCGGTCTTTCCAACTACCTCGGATGCATGTCTGTCTATGATATGCCCAATCGATGAAGACAGAAGTATCGATTGGCGTCACGATATCGGCAAACCGAAGGTTGACTTACATGCGCAATGGCTGTGAGTGGCAGACGCGCTAGGTAGACGTAAGGCAGCATGAGTAAACGTTGGCTGCAGTGACCACCGTGATAGACAGCGCCAAATTATATTCAAAAACCCACATTTCTGCCGTTTTGGCATTTCTTGCGGTTGCTGTAATCAAGTCCGCCTTCATTTGTGTCCAATATTCAGCTGTCACTTACTTGGTGCTTTCTTACTTTGGGCCCGCCGATCCCTCGTGAATTAAAATCACCAGGTTCGTTACATGATAGGCAATCCTGGCTTTCCAGCCCTAACTGAGAGTAGAGAGCTTAGACCTCCTGTGTTTTATAAATACCACCGTTTTCCTTGGTAGTCCTCAAGTATAAGCTGCCTGTTCAGCAAGTCAAGTGGGTAAAAGTCAAGGTGACTTCCAACCCGAGTTACCGGCTGTTCTAAATTCTCTGTGACTATCTTTCGCATCCGCAGACTTGCCACCTAAACCACTCTCTCCTTTTATTGCTTAATCTTCTTCTTACATCTTCTTTTTCTTCTTCTTCTTCTTCTCCCCGTCCTCCTCCTCCTCCTCTTCCTCCTCTTCCTCCTCCTCCTCCTCCTCCTCCTCCTCCTCCTCCTACTGCTCCTCCTCCCCTCCCCTCCTCACGAATCTCCATCTGCCTTCCCTCACTCCCTCCAGTACCTCTTTCGCTGTCTTCCCCTTTAAGTGTGTACTTGTGTGCAATTACCTTATCTCTCTTCTCGCCGTATTCTTCTTGTTGTCCTTCTTCGTCTCAGTTTCATCAGCTGCCAATACGCGAAGGGGTTATCATAAAGGGCCACGTAATGTCCGGTGAACGACTGTCGAATGTGCTTGCGTGCAGCTGTTCGCCAGATAGAGACCCGGCGATGCATCAGCCGCCAGAAATATAATCACTACACGCATGGTCTCACTACAGTTACGTACTACGAATAACGCAATCATGGTGTCCCCATTATACTTATCTGAGATAGCCTCTGATGCTGGGTTAGAGTTGGAATGCGAAAGGTTAGGCAAATACATTTTGTCTTTCTTAGAAGTGCTTCCCGGAATTCGCCTATTCGCTTCTACTCCAGTCCAGCTTCCTTGCAGGCAGTCGCATAGCGATAATCAAGTGTGTAAAAGGAGAATGATCGGCAAAGACAAGGGAGATTGAATTGGCTATTTCTGAATAATTAGCCATAACCAAGCATCCTTACCCAACCTCAGGTTTGTGGAACTTCAGAAACGAAACCAACGGAACGAGTAGGTTCTGCGGCCTGATCCCGCCGCGGTTAATAGCCTCGAACGCAAATGACAGAACAAAGGCCAAAGAGTGCTATTCTACCTAACAGTCAATGTCCAAAGAACGCGGCTTCGAACGACAGATGCCTCCAAGCCATAGTCAGTGAATATCAAGAAAATCCAGAGGA